GTTTCAGCCCTGCCCACGTGCTCCCACGGCCCCTGCCGTGCCTCTTCTGGTACCCCTGGACCCCAGTATTCCCTCGCCCCATCTCGCAGGGTCCCGTTTACAGAGGGGGCCTCCCTGAAGCTGGCCTGTGTATTCAGTGCTGGCCTCAGAGGACGCCCTCCTGCTTCTCTTTGGTCCCGGTTCTTTCATCTGGCAACAGGGACAGAGGCGGAGGCTCCCTTCTAGGGTGTTGAAAAGATGGCCCTGGTGCAAACGGCAGAGGGCCCTCAGGAATGGGGTGGGCTGGTGCAGGAGGGCCGAGGGAGAGGGGCGCTTCCAGCGCGGCTCTGGTATCATGTGCGGTGGGCGTGGTAGGCTGGCGGCACCACACTACCAGAACAGGGACTGGACTCAGAGCTGCTTGGGGTGGGAGTGGCCTGCCCCCATTTCACAGATGGGAAGCCTGAGACCATGGGCACAAGGGGCAAAGCGCTGTGATGCCGGCTCTAGTTGCTTATCCCTGGCGGTTCCTGCTGGGATTGGGGGCTGGCCAACCAGGCCATGACTGCCCACGGGGGGACCCCAGGGTCAGCCCTGCCTAGGGTTGGGTGCTGGGCTCTATTCAGTCCAGGCACCGCCGGCTGGCACCCCGCCCTTTCTCTCCTGGCTGGTTCGGTGGCCTGGCTGAGGTGGGGCAGGGCACGTGGGGCAGGAAGGGGGTTCCGGCATCATTGCTCTGCTCCTACCTAGGGGGTCCCAGACTTGGTCCAGACAAGTGGGGTGTGTGGTGAGACCCCAGCCCAGCCTAGGCCAGGACTCTGACCACAGGCCACCACTCACCCCTGACCCCTCGGACATTTCACATCCTCAGACGTCAGGCTCTAACGGTGTGGTGGCTCAGGACGCCTCCCTGCTTGGGGCCCCTGCCCGGCGGCCCTCAGCCCAGAGACCCCAGACAGCAGGACTTGGCTCTGTTCTGCTCCTGGCGGGAGGCTGGGCACCCCCGGGGAGGGCCCGGGATCTCCGTGGCTTCCTCAGCCGTGTTCTTGTCTCTTTCTGGTAAACACAGACACTCACACACACACTCACACGCTCACACACACCGAGCTGCCCCGGGGGACCCGGGTGTTTGTGTGTGGTTGGGGCGTCTGCGGCGGCAGTGCCTTTCTATGCTGGCGCTCAGAGCGGATGCACGGCCGAGCTGGCGTGTGGGCAGGGCCCCCTGAACCAGGGTGGGATTCCTGCTGTCTGCCTTCTACCCCTGCTGGCACCTCGTTTTAAGCTTCTGGGGACCATGGCACCTGCCTTGAGCCAGTGAGGTGTGGAGGGAGAGTGTGGAGACCCCTCCCCTGCGGGTGCCTGTGCTGACGCCCCCAGGGAGCAGGGTCCCACGGAGCCCTTCCTGTTTGGGGGCTGAGGCTCCTGGGGTGCTGGGACACAGGTAAGAGGTGGGGTGCTGTGGGGGTACTGTGAGGTGCTCTTTCCTTTGGTGGGGGCTGTGAGCAGGTGGGGATGATGGGGGTGGGGCTTGGGCTCAGCCCTTGGCTGGAGGGGGTCACAGCAGGGAGGACCTAGGGGCACCTTGTCCAGCCCCTCCTTGTGCTGGTGGGGAAACTGAGGCCTAGAGAGCCCAGTGATGCCCAAGGTCTCCTGGCCCACCCATGGGTGGTGGTGGGGCGGCTGGGTGCTCCTTCCGGGGCCCCTCACCCAAAGGAGAGACAGGCGTGGAGGAGCATGTGTTCCTTCCCAGGGTCCCATCACATGTGACCCCACTCCTGGCACCTGCCGCTGTTGCCACCTCGGCATACGCCTGGAGTGTCCTCTGGCACTGGGCGTCTGTCCTGGCTTCTCTGAGCTCCTGGAGGGCAGAGCCTGGCTTGTTTATCTGCAGAGCTGGCAAGCCCTCGCGGGCGGCCTGAGGCGGGGGTGACTCGGGGAGCCGGAGCTAGTCCAGGGAAAGTTGTTTAAAGGTATATGGCTGTCAGTGGGGCCACCGCCCCCCCCACCTTCGTCTCCCAGCAGCCTGGATCTGCATCCAAACCCCTCCCTGAGGACGGGCTGCTCCTGAACAATGTGGGTACAGAGCATCCCCCAAGCTGAGAATCCCGCAGAGGACGAGGCTGACTGTCCTGCGGCACGAGGGGCGTCTGCTGGCCACAGGCTGCGGCCAGGCTCAGGGCCTGGCCCATGTCACCACGGATGGAGCCATGATCCATACATTGGGCTTCAGAAGGCTACGTGTGTGTGTGTGTGTGTGTGTGAGAGAGCACGTGAGTGTGTGTGTGATCGTGTGTGTATGTGTTGAGAGCCTGTGTAGGTGTGAGTGCATGCATGCACGTGTGTGTGTTGTGAACATGTGTGAGTGCGTGCATGCATGTGTTGTAAGCATGTGTGACTGCATTCATGCACGTGTGTGTTGTGTGTGCATGCACATGTGTTAGCGTGTGTGTGAGTGTGTGCATGCATGTGTGTGGTGAGCATGTGTGTGTGCATGTATGTGTGTGTAGTGAGTGTGAGTGTGTGAGTGCGTGCACACGTGAGTGTTGGGAGCATGTGAACGTGTGACTTCATGCGTGTGTGTGAGTGTTGTGTGTGTGGTGGTGTGAGTGTGTGCTATAGGCCGATCTTCTGAGTCGTAGACCGAAGTCCCCCTGTCCCCCTGTCGGCCCTGTCCTGTGCAGTGTGGTGACTGTACGGACTGGTCACCTCAGGACCCTAGGGCAGCCTTTGCCAGGAGCTGTTCTTCCTTGTGCTCCCGTATGGGGAAACTGAGGCCCCAGGAGGGTCACTGGGAGACGCATGGACGTGACGGAGGGGTGGGCAGGCAGGGTCTCAGCCCCTCACAGGAGGCCGGCCACCCAGTGACCCTCTGTCCTCTCCCCCAGACGTGGCCCGCCGCTGACCGGCCTGGCGTTCATGGAGAGCCCCTCGGGGGGTGGCGCTGAGTACCGCCACGCCCAGCATCACTGACGTGCCTGCCGCTGCCGAGGACGCTGCGCCCCTGGCCCTCGCCATTGCCCTCGCCTGCCCCTGGCCGCCGCTGCCTGGCCCGGGGCCGGCTCTGCCACCTGAGCCCCCTGCCCCCCTCCCGGACTCGCCGTGCCCCGATGGGGTAACGTGATTGGAGCTCTGCTCATTGGACGCCACCCACGCCCGCCCGCCCCGCCGCCCGCCCGCGACTCTTACCTGGAGGCCGCCCTTGTCTGTTGAGTTCAAGTTCCTTTCTCCTTTTGCGGCGAGGGTGGGGGCCTGCCCACCGATGTGGAGAGCGTGCCTCAGCCACGGACACTCTGGGCTTTTGGAGTTTTCTTTGCTGAGTTTTTTTTTGGTGATTGTTAACTTGTTTTTGGCCCCTTATAATCGCCTAGCTCTGAGAGACAGGGATCTGGGGTTGCCTGTTTGACTTCTGGAGGACTGTTTTGTTCCTTTGCTTTTTTAAAGAGGTTTTTTTTTTTTTTTTTTAAAACTCTCCAAACAGTGTCACCCCCTCCCAATATTTGCACAATATTTGTGCGGGGTCTGGGGGTGGAGGTTTTTAAGTGTTTTCTGTCTTGGACAAGCACAGGGATCTCATTCTTGTTGAGTTTTGTGGGGCTGGTGGGGTTTTCTCTCCTCCATACCCCGAGTCCCCCCCCCAGCTCCTTCCTGCCCCCTGTGGGGCGGAGCCATGGCGCGGATGAACCGGCCCGCCCCCGTGGAGGTGAGCTACAAGAACATGCGCTTCCTCATCACACACAACCCCACTAATGCCACCCTCAACACCTTCATCGAGGTGAGCAGGGGTGGGCAGCAGGGGGTGGTGTCTGGGAGCAAGCAGGGGGGAACCTGCAGCTGGCTGTGTCATTGTCAAGGACTTCTCTTGGGACCACACCTCAGCTGCCCTGCTCACAGGACCCCGGCGGGGACCAACAGTGTGACCACAGGATGACTGCAGGGTGGGCCAGCGTAGGAACCTATGGGACAGCATGCTGCAGGGATAGAGGCGGGGCTGGGGGGAGCGCATGGATGGGCCGAGCCCTGAGCCTTGGAGTCGCCCGTTGGCTGGAACAGCCGTGAGCCCACCCTTTGGGCTCTGTGCAGTGGCTGAGCAGGAAGGAGGGCCCCTGATGTGTGAGGATGGGGCAGGTAGATGGAAGATGGTGACTGGGATCAGAGCTCAGCATGTGACAGGTCCAGGGCTCAGTGTAAAACAGGATTAGGGTTCAGTGCGTGACAGGGCCAGAGTTCAGCATGTAACTAGGGTTGGGGCTCAGTGTGTAACCAGGATCAGTGCTCAGTGTGGGGCCAGGATCAGGGCTCAGTGTGGGACCAGGATCAGGGCTCAGTGTGTGACTAGGGCCAGAGCTCAGCATGTGAATAGGGCCAGGGCTCAGCATGTGAATAGGGCTAGGGCTCAGCCTGTGACCAGGGTCAGGGCTCCGTGTGTGACCAGGATCAGGGCTCAGCGTGTGACTAGGACCAGAGCTCAGCATGTGAATAGGGTCAGCGCTCAGCGTGTGAGTAGGGTCAGGGCTCAGCTTGTGACCAGGGTCAGGGCTCTGCGTGTGACCAGGATCAGGGCTCTGCGTGTGACTAGGGTCAGGGCTCAGTGTGGGACCAGGATCAGGGTTCAGAGTGTGACAGATCCAGGACTCAGCTTAAGATGAGGTCAGGGTTCTGTGATTAGGTCAGGACTCAGTCTATGACCGAGATTGAAGCTTGGTATGTCACTAGGTTTGGGGTTCATTTGTGATTGGTGTCAGGATTCAACATGTGGTTTGAGTCATGGTTCATTGTGTGATTGGAATCAGAGCTTAGCCTGTGACTGGGATTGGGGCTCAGTGTGTGACCAGGATAAGGGCTCAGGGTATGACCAGGGTCAGCTTTCAACATATGACCAGAATCAGGGCTCAGTGTGTGACCAGGGTCAAGGTTCAATGTATGATCAGGCTAAGGGCACTGTGTGGCCCTGGCCAGGTCTCAGCGTATGATGGGGTCAGGGCTCAGCACGTGACCATGTTCAGGACTCAGTATGTGACCACGATCAGGACTCAGTATGTGACC